CGACTGTGGCCTTGAAGTCAGCCAGTTTGTTCTTTCTTTACCTGACAGGCAACCTGGCCAGCACCTTAGGGCAGCATAAAGGCCCCATCTTTGCCTTGAAATGGAACAAAAAGGGGAATTACATTTTGAGTGCTGGTGTAGACAAAGTGAGTATTCGCTTAAAATAGGTCTCAAAAAAACAAATGTCTCTTTGATCTGTAGATGCTGGCTTACTTTGAATTTCTGGGTAACATCCTGGGTTTTTATGTTTTTGTGTTTAATTCTGAGGCTTTCCTTAACAACGCAGAAGAGCTGCTTTAGGTTTTGTTTTTGTGGTTTTGGTCTTACTGTTCGCATATAACACATACTCTCTCAACGTATTATACTGTTCCACAGACCTTTGTGCAGAGCCTCTCCCCCTCCCTTTTTTTGAGGTACGTCATTCAGCGATGGAAAGAGGAAACCCCCCAGTTGCATGTATCCAATGCTTGAAAAGCAAAGTGGCGTGGGATGCACGGAACAGAAACCTTTCCCCCACTGAGCAGTTTTGGAAACACAAACCGTTTTCTCTCGCCAGGCTTCTTTTTCCCTAATGCAGTGAATTGTGACTTCCCGTTGTGGGCTGCAGGCTTCTCTGAGAGCCGGAGGAAAGTGGGCCCGCCCACGAGGGGGCACATCCCTCGCGGGCCACGGGGCACGCTTTGCACACGCGTTGTGCCTGGACAGGGCTGCCAGGTGGATGTGACGGGGCCAGGTCCGAGTGGCCGCAAGCAGCCAAGGGCCTCTAGAAGCCGTGGGTGGGCAAGGAGTCAGCAGGTGCAGGCATCATGTGGCTCTGAGCGTGGCCCACTCTCTCTGGGTCTGCTTCCTCGGTTGCCAAGAGCCCAGGCATCAGGACCCCCAAAGAACGTGGAAGGAATGCTTACGTCATTCCTGAGACTCAGCAGGAATTGGAACTCCTTGCTTTGGAAAAGAAGTATCCTCGAGAAATGAAGCCGAAGGGAAGCAGAAGTGGTTTGTGTTTCTACAACTGTCGACTGGGTCTGAGGACTAGACTGTCGTGCGGTTTCCGAAGGGCTTTACGTTTTCATACTGACGTCAGGATCATTTGAAAACCTGGTTACATGACTGCTGGGTATCCATTCGAGTTCTACAGTGAATGAACAGTAATAACCAGCACCTGTCAACACTGTCACGGGCGTGGGCTAAGGTATTTACTCTCCGGCCGGTGACAGTGTGTGCTGACCCCGCACCAGAGGGTAGCCCTCGAGGTCAGTGAAGAGGGCCGCCGCGCTCGCTCTCCCAAGCCAGTAAACCTTTCTTTCAAACCCGGCAGCCTAACATCTAATGTTGAAACACGCACACGCACACGCACACACACACACACACACACACACACACAACGTTGTCGGGTCCGTGGCTGCTCATCCGTACTGCTGACTGCATTATTAAAATATTTGTGCAAATGATCGCTGACCCTTAACCAAGCACTTTACCATACATGTTGGCCTCTTCAGGGCTCCCGAGAGAGGAGGTGGGAGCTGCTGCCAACAGCCCCATTTCACAGGCACGTGCACTCACTTGCCTAGGGACACCCGGGTCCAGGGTGCAGGGCCCGGATTGCCAGTAACTTCTGCCCTTTGACCTCCACACACTTCCAAAAAGTTCTTTGCAGCCTCACCTGCCTTCTGCACAGGGGCTCATTTTTATATTCCATTTTTGATTTTCCACCTTCCTCTCAGTCGTGACTCTACCGGGTGATGAGCCAGACGGCCACGGAAAATGCACATTTGGAATTCACTTTGTCTTTGGCTTCTCCATGCTCTGCTGTTGTTCATCAACCATGGCAGGAATAATGAGAATGTTCTCGAAAGTGATACCCAGGGAGGAAGGGTCATGGACGGGGATGCTGGTGTTGACCTTCACTGCATGCTTAACCTGGAAGTAGTGACAGCAGGATATATCACAGTCTTAAAAAGCCTTTGTGTAGTTAACGAGTTGTTTCGTCCCTTGTATACTTAGCGGAAACACCCACTAGCTGATAGGATTACTGCTGTGGTGTGTGGCGTTGTGTCAGAGAGAAGTACTGAAAGAGTTCACGTAGTCTTTGCGTTGCCACATTTGGGAGTGGCTACGTTAAGAAAAGAGTTAGGATCCACCAAATGACAAAGTTAATTGGTCTAGGGGCACCTGGCTGGCTCAGTCGGTGGAGCACGCGACTCTTGATCCTCAGGGTTGTGAGCTCGAGCCCCACGATGGGTGTAGAGGTGACTTAAAATCTTTTTTTTTTTATTTTTAAAGATTTTATTTATTTATTCATGAGAGACAGAGAGAGAGAGAGGCAGAGGGAGAAGCAGGCTCCCAAGGAGCAGGGAGCCCGATGTGGGACTCGATCCCAGGACCCCGAGATCACGAAATGAGCCAAAAGTAAGAGTGAACACTCAACCAACTGAGCCACGCAGACGCCTTTTTTTCTTTTTTTTTTTAATGTAGTTAAGAGAAAATTAAAAATGAGTTTTGTGGCTCACATTGTATCTCTTTTGGACAGTGCTAGTTTAGAAGGAAGGGGGGGTTCACGGTCTTGTATGTTAAATTTTTCAGAGAAATCTTTCCATGAAGAATAGTTACTAACTTTTTCTTTTTGTTTGCGGAGTATAGACAACAATAATTTGGGATGCTCACACAGGAGAAGCCAAACAACAGTTTCCGTTTCATTCCGGTGAGTTTTTGTGTTGTTGTTGTTGTTTTAATAATTCCAAATAGGAATTCATAGCCCTAGGAAATGTCCCTTAAAGTAATCGTGAAAACTTGCAGGAAGGAGTCCGTGGAATGTAGCTGGTAGGAAGGAAATGCATTTCATGGGAAGAAGCCTTGTTCTTAAGCTTTGCAAGATACACGTGCCCTCAACAGCTGCCTGCTCAGAAGTTAAACACAGCAGTGAACCAAGCACAGAAGCAGTGTGGGCGCCTTCTTCCTGCTGTCTCAAGGGGGCTGCTGCGTTGGGGTTCCCTGCAACCACGCCTGGGTCTGGACGCTCCCTGGGAGGACTCCTGGACTCAGCGGATAGCTGTCCTCAGGGCTGAGAGGCATCACTGCGGAAGGACACAGAGCAGAACCCGCAGGCAGGGGCACGTGGGGGGACGTCCAGGGCTTCCGGGGGTCCTCTCCGAGCAGAATCAGTCCACGTCTGATGCCCCCAGAAACGAGTTATGACAACACATGGGAAGGGTCAGCTACCAGGAAAACTCATTAGGACTCAGGGCCTGAGGTTTATAATTGGGGGCTGGTCCCGTAGGCACCCCTGCTTGGCGTGTGCCCCAATTCCGGACTCCCAGAAGGAAAGCAGGGGTTCAGCACACACCCCACTGTTTGCACAGTTTAGGCACAGGACACCATTATTGTCCGTTAGGCAGTGGTGGGAAACCTCTGGATGTCCAAATTCCCAGTCTCGGGCCAAGGACCAGCCTTGCCCGTGGGCACTCCTACGGAGAGCAGCGTCAGGCCTGTGGGGGTCCGTCTGCCCCGCAGACATGTGTAGCCACCGCTGTGGACCTCACCCTGTCCCTTTGTGTGTTGGGGTCCTAGCAGGTTACATGGGGCAGCCAGGGTTCTAGAGAGTTCCAATTACCCAGATTCCCACCTGCCACTTCACGCTCTGTGTAGCTCAGTCTTGTTGTTAGATGTGGCCTCTTAAGGACAGATGACCACCTCCCAGAAGGAATGGACTGGGATAAAGATTGGCTCAGACCTGACAGAAGGGAGTGGATGTTCCCTCCCTCAACAGGAAAAGTCTCTTCCATTTTGAGGGAATCTAAACGTGCGGAGGGACTGTTTACTATTCTCAGGGCACCCTGACGGGGAGTTTGGGGTGCATGGTGATGGTCTGCATCCACGCGCTGGCCCCATGGACTCCCCTTGGCAGCACAGCCAATCTCCGTGCCCAGGGAGGGGCTCCACGCAGGGGACATGGGTCGTCCAGCGAGCCGACGCGGCCAAAGATTCCGTGAGGCAGGACTGGTTCCAATGCCCGGACACCAGCTCCACATGGTCCTTCAGCTGTGCTTTCTCCTGATCGGGGGGACCCTGCTGTTGTAGCTGGTACCCTGGTACTTTGCAAACATAGCACGTCTCTCCCGTGTGTCCTTGTAGCTTGGGGTGGGGTCCACACCGGATACACCCCTTGGGGTGCCAATGAATTTCGCTCTTAGTGTTGCTTTAATCTAACACCACTGATGATGTGGAAGTGGGTGAACGTATTCCAGAATGTATGTTCTCACCGGAGAGTAGGTAGGGCTCCAAACGCAGGTGGCTTGGACTTCCGACCTCTGTGGTGTGGGGCAGGGGAGGGTGTGTAGGTCACACGATATGTACGTTAGTGAAAACTACATGTTCACGTGGTGGACAGCCGTTACCACGGTCTAGTTCCAGAACGTTTCCACCACCCCAAAAGGAAATCCCTTCTCTTTAAGAAGTCCTGCTCCTTACAAGCCCAGCGTCTGGCAAGCCAGTCTACGTGGATCTGAGCGTGTTGCCAGATTACGACTCTGCTCCAGACAGCATCGCAGGGCAAGTAGCAAGTGACTGGATCCTTCCTGGTGGTCTCGCATTGTTGGCATAAATAACCAAAGTGTCCCGACCTTTGTTGTCGGGGACGATACCGTAACGGATTCGGAGCTCAAGAAGAGCAGGTGTGCTCACCCGTGTGGTTGGAGGGAATATCTGAAACAGAGCTCTGGATTCTACTTTTCAGAGAAAAAATATGCCCAAGATAAACATCAGTAAGATTCCCATGACACTTTTATTTATGGGGCGTCTGGGTGGTGCTGTTGGTGAAGCGTCCAACTCTAGATTGTGGCTCAGGTCCTGATCTCAGGGTCGTGAGATCGAGTCCTGTGTCGGGCTCTGCATTCAGTGCGGAGTCTGTCAGGGCATTCCCTCTCTCCCTCGGCCTCCGCCGTCCCCCCAAAAATAATAAATCTAAAAAAAAAAAAAAAATTCATTTATAAAGTTTTTCAGCAGAATGTAATATTTCCCAAAGCATTTCTAAGACTTCATGGAAGGGCTCTCTGTCCCACTGGCCAAGAACACCACCCATGTGTTTCTTACATATTCTCACCCATAATTCTCACCATAATGGTGTATAGGTCCCCATCGCCGGTTCAGTAAGATCCAGGTGTCGTTTGCTCTTTTTCTTTTTCTTTAGCGTGAAGGAGAGTGCTAGAAACTGTTCAAGATGGTAACTTGAAAGAAAAGGAAGTGTGCTCTTTTTCGGAGCAAAACACAGATAGAGCTTATAAGGAGGACCGTTTGTCAGCATTCAGAATCTCCTCGAGTTGATGGGTTGGTCTGAGAAATTGCTTTGGCTCGTTAGGTTTTTCCCACGAACACCCGTTAGGGCCACGGTCTGTCACCATCAGCAGGAAGCGTTTCCTCGGAGGCTGACCGTGGACTACCACTCAGCAATAAGGAGCATGTCGTCAACAGACTGTTGGTAACACAGAACAGCCTGATAGATCTCAAGGGGTCTCCATCGGACCAGTCTCCAAAGGTCGCCTGCTGCATGACTCCGTTACCTATAACCTTGAGATGAAGAACTGTTGGAACTGGAGAACGCGTGAGTGGAGCCAGACCGTAGGGATGGTGCAGGGAGGCCTTGGTGTGAGTATAAGGTGGCACGAGGGGATGCTCGGTGACCGTGGCACAGGTCTGGATCTGCCTGTGCACGTGGCCGCTCAGAGCTGAGCTCAGAGCCGCTCAGAAGTGGCCCAGCTCCCCCCCGACACACACACTGTACCAGCATCAGCCTTCTGCTCTTGCCTCCATCCCGTAGAGCCGCAGAATGCAACTACTAGGGGAGCCTGGATCAACAGTAACATTGCAAAATTAAACTTAAAAACAAAACAAAAACACAAAGAAAGCCAGGCTGTGCCTGGAGTGCTGCTGACTGCTGAACCTCACTGGCCCACGTGTGGGCAGGGAGCGCATGTGGACCCCGAATCGCTACGCCCTGCCTCCCGTCGCTTACCCACACCGAATGGTGAGATCATCCTGGGGGCTCCGGGGCTCCTGGTGGCAGGGGCCCACTCACAGGGGGTCAGCCACCCAAGTACAGAGGGTCCCCCTCTCTGGATGGCGAGGGTCAGCGGATGTTAATTTTTACGACCAGGTGCTAGACACTGTCCCCAGAGCTGCCCCCCAGATGGTCCTGTTTGCAAGCGTACGGACCGCATGCCCTGAATGCAGAGGGCGGCCAGGAATTGAGGACTTCGCCGGCGCGGTGTCGTCAGCGACAGCAGCTGCGGTCGTAGCGCTCCGGCCCACGGGCTCATCCCCTGGCCAAGCGCGATCCGCGCCTGCCTTCCGCTGTGCCCAGGCGGGAGGTGGGCCGGGAACCGTGGGGCTACTGTGAAAACACAGTGCTGGGGACGGAACAGAAAGAGATGCTCTCGGCTTCTGAACAAGCCTGGGCTCGCTCTCCACCAAATGCTCCCACCTGCCAAGTGCACCTGAGGAGGGAGCGGGACGAGGAAGCGAATGGGACCCACCCTGCAGTTACCTACCTGTGGAAGATCGGAGGGGCCGTCTGATCACTAGCACATTCTGAGGAATCTGGATTCTTCTCCCGATTCAGTGCTGACTTGCCTTTAAAAGAAACACACGAGACACGGTTAGGGTACTGATCAGTCGATGAAACCTGTGACGAGAGGATTGTAGGAACCTAACTCTCTTCCTTCTGTGTCAGAGCAAGGATGCTGCGTAGTCTGATGGGCGGTCTGGGGAAGGGGGGAGCGCTGGGAGGCAGAGAAGTCCATCACCCTCCCCCAAACCCTCAGCAGAGGGCCTGGGAAAGGCCCACGAGTCAGAAAGGGTGCTCATCATACGTCCTGAGCCCTAAGCCCAGTCGTGTCCCCAAAGGGTAAGTCCCCTCCAGCTGATGGGCTGCATTAATGGGTTGCAGGAGACTTTTTAAAATCAAGATATTTGACCATCGGATATGAAATCTTTTTCATCTTGTCTCTTTTTCCCATCTAAAACACATCAAATCAGCCCGCCACAGTGCTATTTCTGGAAGCAGCAAGGTGTAAGAGGGGGCAGTGCACGTTCTCACGAACCCCTGTCCCCGCGTCGGGGCGTCCGGAGATGCCACAGGGCATGGCAGCCGTCACGGGGGTCTCTCCAGAGCGTCTGCTCAGCATCCCAGATGTGCACGGACAGCTCTTTATGGACTCTGAGGGGAAGAGGCTGTGTTCACACTGGGCACGTTCTTTTAGTGTGTTACTAGAGAAGGCTTCTGGACTCTGCTTCTAGTTGTTTTTAAGTCGGCTGAGCGTGCGCCCCAGTAGTAAATGCCGCGGTGTCTCCGCCCCCCTTCCCTGCAGCGCCCGCCCTCGACGTGGATTGGCAGAACAACACTGCCTTCGCCTCCTGCAGCACCGACATGTGTATTCACGTCTGCAGACTCGGCTGTGACCGCCCGGTCAAAACCTTCCAGGGACACACAGTAAGTGTGACTTCCGATGATGGGCCCCTGGTTCCCCAGAAGGTGCTTGTGGCGTCGCTGGTGGCTGGATTAACCCACCTGAGGGCAGGCAGTGACGCCAGGACTGACCCTGGCCCTCCGGAGTCAGAGTTCGATTCCGCGGGAAAGCCTTTTTAACGTAGCTGTTAGGAAAATCTACAGGCACATATAGGAAAGGATGCTTACAATGAGCAAATAGATGGGGAACGTTGGCAGAGAAAGGAAAACTATATTCTTAAAAACAAAAGTCCAGTTTCGGAAATCTGAGACCCGAGGGCTATACTGTCTGATAACGACAGTCTTCGAGGGGGGGCCGGGGGTTCAGCAGCAGGTGGGAGACTGCAGGAAGGCTAGGGAACCTGAAGCGAGATCCCAGAAATGAGCCGATTGAAGAATGGATAAAAGCTCGAACAGTCTTTCTCAGAGAGGCTTAATGACCGATGGGCCGTACGAAGCCCTCCAGCCAGTATGTGTAATGGAGAGAGAAAAAAGAGAGAACACAAAAATCGTATGAAGCATTAATGGCCACATTTTCCTAAATTGGGGGGGAAATAGCAACATCTAATCCAAGAAGCTCAGAGGCCAGTTGACTTCTCATCAGATTCCTTAGTGTGGGGCTCATGAGGCTCTTGGTCGCTTTTCCAGACCAGATCCCTGGAGGCTCCAAACCCCCTCCCCCCGCAGCCCTCCTGGGACACCTGCCCGACTGACGGACACTGTTGTCTCAGCACCAGCTCACTGCCACGGGACTCCCCTTTTCCTGTGGCCCTCCAGGCCCCTGCTTCTGAAAGCCCAGGCATCAGCTCTCCTGTTACCATCTCCTTGTGTCTCTAAACCAAACCCCCTCTTTATTTTTCCCGTTTCTTCCTCTCTCCCCTAACCCTACACTCGTCCCCAGACTTCCATCTGTCCCACTTGCGACTTGATCACCATCGCACATTTTTAAATGGGTCTTCTCGCTGCTCGTCATCCTGCACGAGACACAAGCTAAATGTAGCTGAGCCTCTTTTCTTCCCGAGACCCTGTGAGCCATCCCTGGATGCCTCCTGGGAATTGTGACTTGGGTTGCAGAATCGGGGAGAGCAAACTGCATTGTGGGGAAGGAGCTGGCTGCACCCTTGGGTTAGCTGAGGACAGTCGGGGGTGCCCAGCTCCGCACTCCTGGGCCCTGAGAGATCTGCCCGTAGGGTCTCCTTTCAGCGGTTGCAGCCAGAGCTACTGTGGCCGCCTGCGCTGGCTGAGCCTGTCCCTGGGCCCCAGGTTCTCCTGGGGTCCGGCATCCGCTTTCTCGTGCACACGGGCATACACCCGTCTGTAGTCCAAGCCCTCCGGCCTCCCTTAGCTCACCCACTGGCCTGCTTATAAAGCAGGCTGCTTTATAAACGCTGTCCCTCGGGGGGCGTTGGCCTTCGTCCTGCATGATTCAGCCTCGGGGTCATCTGCTCCCTGGAACTGGAAGGCTTTTTGCAGCCTCATTCCTTTCTGCCACACTTGCAGCTGCCTGCTAGAACTTTCTACCTGCGCTGGATTGCACCATCTGGCTTGCTGTTTGCTCTGGATTTCCAGCCCCCTGCCCCACCTCGGGGATCTTGTTTATGGGTGTGTTCCTAACAGCTACCACTTGGGCGTTTCGATCCTGTCTTCAACCCAGATTAAACCTTCCTGTGTATCCGAGGCCTTAAATCGTTGCCTTCCACCCCCCCCCACGCCCCCACCCCCAGCACGAAAAGAGAGGGGTCTTGTATGGATTTAGACAGGAAGTAGCCGTGGTATAGAAAGTATGCAGGAAAAGGATTTTCAAAGTCAGTTTTTAAATTACCATGGTCTTTCTTACTGGTTTTCTGCCCTGCCCTGAATTTTATGTAAATTCATTTGACTGCCTAGTAGTGACTTTTTTTCCTTAGAGAAACGTCGATGAGCGGGTTACGTATGGTGTATGGCGTGCTTGTAGATGAACGTGGAAGGCAGAGTCAGAGAGGAAAATAAAGAGAAACGCGGCAAGTCCCTGGTTTCTCCGTGGAGTCCTTTGAGGTCCAGCCTCGACGAGGCACTGCTGCCCCCTGCTGGAAGGTTGTGGGATCTGCTCACAAGCCTTTCTCCTGAAAACCCTTTGCTCTCTTTCAGAATGAGGTCAATGCCATCAAATGGGATCCTTCTGGAATGCTGCTAGCATCCTGCTCTGATGACATGACGTTAAAGGTAGTGATGGGAGGACAGGCCGTGCAGTGCACAACCCCGTGGTCCCAGTCACTGCTCCTCCACTGATTAGCCCTCTCTCCCCATTTCTGACTCAATGTCGCTGTCCTGCAGCTACCTCCCGTTGATCCGTTGAGGGTCCTGCAGAGACTCCGTCCTTGCCCGTGGCCTTTCTCACAGGTGCACCCTGGCATGTTGCTCCCCCTCCCTGGCGGGTGACCTGCGGATGGGCCGGCCGCACTCCCCGCTGGGCGGCGAGCTTCCCAAGAGCTCACGGAATGAGTGCTCTGGAACCACTGCTGGCTGGAGAAATGGCATCTGCTCACATTGCTGCTCTTCTGTTCCCTAGATCTGGAGTATGAAGCAGGACACGTGTGTCCATGACCTTCAGGCTCACAGCAAAGAGATCTACACCATAAAGTGGAGTCCCACCGGGCCAGCCACCAGCAACCCAAATTCCAACATCATGCTAGCGAGGTAAAGCGCAGATGGCCCACAGCGCGGGCGTGGTTCCTAAAAGCAGCCGTGCTCCCTCCCCGCGGCCAGGCTAGTCACAGGGCCAGCAAGACTTACTCGCGTCCCAGGAGAACGGGACATTTCACTGAGGTGTGGTGCAAACGTTTGTGTGCAGGTCCTTCCAAACTAAATGACATGGTGAGCTCGCTTTGAAAGCACCCACAAGACTCTGAAGTGACACCTAACTGGGGGTGTAAGGATGGTTTGAACCATGAGGTTGGAAGGAGGCACTGGTCCTATGTCCAGGCTGTGAGTACTTGGCTTTGGTGGAGGTTTTTGTTAAGACAGAGAAAGGAAACGGAGTTTAGTGGGGACATTGGGCTTGGTTCCTTGGTTCAACTTGCAGCAGCAGGTGGGGAGCGTCGTGAGCGATGACAAAGGGCTCCCCAGCTCTAGCCAGACCTGACCCAACCACTGATAGAGTGAACCCCCTGGGCCCCAGCACTGGGAGGCGTGGGATGGCCAGTCAGGCCAGAACTGGTCTGTCCCAGTGCTCACTGGACCCCATTCAGGATGTAGCGTCTACTCTAGGTACTGTGTTTTCGAAAGAACATTTGCGGGGCGAACTGAAGAGATTCTGAGACTGAATGCCAGGGTAACTGGGGGTGCGGAGCCCACAGCCGGAAGCAGTGTGGGTGTGTTTGCTTCGCTTGGCAGGGATGGTTTGTGACCCGGAGCAGCCGTGGGCTTGTGCTCGCGGTGGTGGAGAGTGGGATTGTGGGCGCAGGCGAAGGTGGCGGCCTTCTGTAAGTTGGGAAGAACCTCCGTGTTCACCACGTAGCGGAGCGGTGGGCAGCCTCGCCAAGCAGTGAGGACTCTTGTTTGCTGCAAGTGCTCGACCCAGCGCCATCTCTTAGAAAGCACTGGAAGGGAGTCCTGCATCCACTGAGAGGCTAGAGCCAGAAGAACATGATGGTCGTAATTCCCTTATTTCGAGTAACTGTCCTAAAACCCACTTAAATTACTGAGCTAAAGAACACACTCCAGTCGGTTTTGATGGCCTAGAAGGTACTTGTGTTCCACGGTCCCCATGACGAGCATAAATGACCCTTCAGTCAGTGGTAGGAAGGGAACGTACCCGTGGAGGGACTGAGTGCCAGGCAGCAGCTCTGTGATCCATGCTGTTCTCTCACATGGGAAAATAAGCACACTTGCAGCGCTCGGCAGTGTGATCGCATATTCGGATGGGATTGTATTTTAATTCCTGTTGGTTTCAGTTTTATGCTCTCAATTTGCTATTTTCGCAAACTGTTGGTATCCTTTCAGTTGCTGACAATAGATGTTATCTTTTAAATTACGGGAGCATTTTAGAAAATGTGGTACATATTCTGTGCAGGTATTTATCATCCGTATCTGTAGGAAATGCAGGGAGAAGTTAATGTGGATATCAGCCTGTGTCCCTAATAGCCCCAAAAGAAAGGAAGGAGGGAAGAAAAGATCTGTTTGAAAACTATGGCCTTGTTTTCACTATGTCCAGCTCACATTTTGGAAAGAAGAGCTCATGATACCCATTAAAACATCTTAGGGAAACGGAAAGAAAGCCAGGTGTTTTTGTGGTAATGTTTTGTGTCCCGTCTTCTTAGTGCTTCGTTTGATTCTACGGTTCGACTGTGGGATGTGGAGCGCGGCGTTTGCATCCACACACTAACCAAACATCAGGAACCGGTCTACAGTGTAGCTTTCAGCCCCGACGGGAAGTACCTGGCCAGTGGCTCCTTTGACAAGTGTGTGCATATCTGGAATACTCAGGTAATCCCCACGCTTCCTGTGACCCAGTCCTTTCCAAAAGGAAGGCCCTATGAACAGTGTTTTCAGGGACCCAGGCTAGGAGCAGCCAGTGGGGAAGCTGTGCTTAGGAACGAGTTGCCCCAGATGATGGCTTGAAGCCAGCCCTCCTTCCCCGGGCAGACCCCAGCTCAGTGCTGCTGCCCTGTGCCCTGTCCGGGCTGTGGGTCCCCTCCCCAACACTTGCCCCGTCTTCTGCTTGTTCAGCTTCCTGGCATCAAACCACCTCCCTGCCTCATCCGCTTCTCGAGCACAGGCGTGCTCAGAGACGCGGCCGTCTGGAATCCGAGGTTGGGGGCGGAGAGGTGGCCCCCCATCCGAGGTTTCCAGGGGCAGCGGCCAGCTGGCCTGGGGCCAGCCCTGACCACCTCTGAGACCACCAACACCTGTGGCCCCACGGAGCCCATCAAGGAGTACAAAGGAGAGATGGTTTGCGGTGCTCATGCCATTTAACGATTCTCGAGTGAAAATATTTTATGTTTGTAGCAAAGGATAGGCCAAGAGTGGGTTGTCCTATTCTCAGAACTAAAAGGAGACGATATTTGATTAAATGTAGCCACTGTAGGTTTCTCTGGCCATACCTGAGGATCGCAGAAATCTGAATATAAAGATAGAATGGACAGGAACTAGTAGAGTACAGTGTTATCTTGGGCAGTCAGCTCTTGGTTCTCCTAATGGAAGGGAGATGGTGCTGTGGTAGGAGCCCTTGAAAATAGCCAGTGATCCATTTTGTTGGATCTCAGGATGGATCAGACGGCTTCCCTGCTCCCCTTTCCATATGACCTATCTTCTAGATTCCCTTGGGCTTGGTTGACATTCGGATGCATTTGCGTTCTCAAGTCCATGTTCCCCTTGGGCCAGGAGGTGGCGGAGCGTGGGCCAAGGTAACTGGCATTGGGGTGCAGGGGTCCACTGAGACCCCAGGCTTCCCAGGGACTGCCTTACATAAAACACATCCTCTTGCGGAAGGAGAGGCGATGGTGGGCTCTGCGTGGAGCCAGCCTGATGCCAAGCTGAGCCTCACAGCCAGCCCTAGATGGGCCTCCTGGAAAACTCACTCCAGGCACACCGTGCCAGAGTTCCTTCATGAAATACTTGCTGGAAATCATGCTGGATGGATTTGTAAAATAACATCGTTCATTAGGTGCCGTCTACTGTCAGAAACGTCGAATCATGATCACCCTCATTATCACCCCATTTGTATAAATCACAACACTCTTTGAGACATTTTTAAATTTTTATTATTATTTTTTTAGATTTTTTAATTTACTTATTTGACAGAGAGAGACACAGCGAGAGAGGGAAGACAAGCAGGGGGAGTGGGAGAGGGAGAAGGAGAAGCAGGCTTCCCGCCGAGCAGGGGGCCCGATGCGGGGCTCGATCCCAGGACCCCGGGATCATGACCTGAGCCGAAGGCAGATGCCCAACGACTGAGCCACCCAGGTGCCCTGCTAATGTTTATTTTTAAGTTTTTGTTTAAATTCCAGTTAGTTAACACACACAGCATAATATTAGTTTCAAATGTACAATCTAGTGATTGAACACTTCTATACAACACCTGGTGCTTATCACCACAAGCACCCTCCTTAATCCCCATCATTATTTAATCCATTTCCCTCCACCTCCCTGCTGGAAACCATCAGTTTGTTCTCTATAGTTAAGAGTCTGTATCTGGATTTCTCACTCTTATTTTTTACCTTTGCTTATTTGTTTTGTTTCTTAAATT